TTCCAACCCTAAACACTCTATGATTCTATGAATACTGTGAACTACAACAGAATACCTTATGTTTGGTTATTAGTATCTTCAGGAAAACAAATCTTTTAAATAGTAAATGCCTGTAATTTTTGTAAATTTGCAGAATTTACCACTCAAACAATGCTTCTCTTCATCATCTGTTTCTCTTCATAACGTAAGTATCTTGCAAGCCCCAAGGATCACAAAACCCTAACACGTCTGATTATAGATTCCTTTCTTTTCATACTGACCGTGTATTAGTAACTCAAAGAAAATAGAAATGTCAGTGGGTATTCACAGATCCTTTCCAAAGTTATTGAAGCTCTTCAGTGCTTGCCAGCTCATCTCTATTCACCACATTTCTTAGCCATTAAAAAGGAGCTGAGGCACACGGCCAAAGCATAATTTGCTAGTGCAAGACAATAGTGGAAATTCTCCTGCCCCTCAAAGTAGTTTGGCTGCACAGAAACCGAGTACTGGGAACAGGCCTTACCCTACGCTGACTCCAAAACTAGTTCTGCAGGTTATTTGGGACAGTGTTAGTCAAAGACAAAATTGTACGAGGGATCATTCTAAAGCTTGTATGATACAGACAAATCATATTCCTGGCCATGGGTACAATTTCTAGCAATTTTCTGTCACTATTCCATTTACTATTATATATTGAGCCTTCAAATACCATGAAAAAAATAATCCGCCCAGTGACTGCTATCAACCCGCATGTCACTGGACCATTTACTTTGCTACAAGCTGCAGGAAAAAATTCACTGTTTCTCCCTCCTCTACAGGCTCAAGAAAAATTTAATAGTAGCTGCTGAAGGCAGGTCCTTGATGGCTTCGGTATTTCTTTTTAAGTTCTGGGATCCTGCAGCGCCATAAATTGGTGGCTATTAATATATTAGTAAGTATATTTAAAACAAGGCTGCAAGACACGTAACCAGACAGAAGACTCTTGTACACTTAGTGATAGCTCCATGAGCTTTTTCACTGTGTCATTTCTTTAAAGCACTTTCTATCTTCCAGGGTGACACTGAACCAAGATTAATTCATTTAGAAGCAAAAAGTCCTACTGACTTTTAGTATGACTTAAGCACTGATCAGTATATTTCTCCATCACTCATCTTTCTCAGCAGTTTACATCACAAGGGGTTGATCCTGTCTGCAATATGTAGAACAGGAAGCAAAGAACCTGAGCCTGCACTAGCAGGAAAGCTTCTTCATGGCTGCCATCTCAACCCTTCCTACTAACCACAAGATTTCTGAAAGGCTTATGACTGGACTGGACTGTAACTAAATGGTTCTGTGCCAGCAGAGAGCAACTAAATCTGTCCTTAGCCTGAGGGAGCTCAGGTAAATCTCAGAAAGCAGCAAATTCTTTGTTGCATCTTTATTTCTAGTACTATGGCCATTACTCTCAAGTCAAGGCCAGAACAAAATCTCCTCACATTCTTTAGCCTTTCTGTCTGCACCCCACTTTTTTACATGGGCAACAATGAAATACGCAGAGTCCCTGTTTTTCTCCCTGATGCTCATGCTAGCAATAAGGCCCTGACATGTTTACTCCTACTCAGTTCCTGCAATTCCACCTACAGCCTAGTCCATGTGAGGAGGGTACAGGCAACACCACAATGAGACCTACACATGTACCAACTTTTCTCATAAACATCTGAAAGGGCTGTTTGATCAAAGCCCAACAGGGACATTTTAGAAACTCACTTAGATAGCTAAGGTAAGACTGACTTTATATAGCTGTCCTAAATATAACTATGCAGAAAATGAAATCCAGTCTGCAGCACAGTAGTTAATAAGAAGGCTGAAAATTGATCCAACTGTGGTTTCTCTTTCTGGCTGCTCTCCCCTGTGCCACTGCTGTGAGGTCTGCTAGGGTTGTACTCATGGGCCTGGAACAAAGGCTCTTCATCCATGTATTGCTTATGTTTCCCCTTTCTTTATGAGGTCTTACAAATGTCAACCTAACAGATATCCACATTTACTCACCAATTTAACTTTCTCCAATTTTCATTAAAAATTGAGAGAATTCAATTTCATCAGTATGCTTCTCTAATAAAAATTTATTCCCTTTCTACAAATTTATAATCAGAACTAATTTATGGATAAGCCTTATTCTGCAATCATTTTTTATTCTCCCATGTCTTAAAGAAAGAAAAATAATCAATTACATCTACTGCTTGCAATGTTTTCCCTTCAGATTTATCTGAGATCTGACTTAGCCCCTTACATTTCTTCTTAATTACTGGCAAACAGTAGTTCCACAATTGAGGAACTTGGTGATTCCTTGCAGGCTATAATACATCTAAATACTTTGTTCAAACTCTACATCTTCATTTAATTTTGCTTTGCACTAAAAAGAAAAATGAAACTTGTCTCTGAATAAAGTTATTAGACATATTAGGACATACCTTCATGTTTCCGAAAGGCCTATCACACTTTATACCAACTGATCTTTAAAAATATTTTCAAATTCAGAGATATCAGAAAAGGAAATAATTTTTATATAAAACACAATTTCAAGTTCTGCCTAACAACTTCATGTATTTTTAGTTTTGGGTTCTGGCTACCTTATAAACAGCAGGAGCCTCTATATAAAATTATGTCTGTGCAACTATGTGTTTTACTTGTTGGAACAATTTCCTTTGAAAAAAACATAACAGTCTACCAGCTGCAGAGCTAATTAAAAATATCACTTCTGAAAACCTTTAACTTATTTAAAAAAAAAAAATCAAGAAAATATTTAATTTAAGAATCAATAGCAAGAGATGAACTACAAATCTGAACCCATTTTATAGATAATCTGGGCCCATTTAATGAATGTACTTCAGTTACTGCAGTATGATAACAATCAGATCTCTCAGTGCTTGTGAGCAGACCTGCTAGCTATTACTACACTACTCATCTGCTTCAAAGGAAGCTGAAGGCAGTGTCTGACAGAAGGATTCCCTTCACAAGGGAAGAAGAAACCATGAGGAGGTATTCTAGCTTGTTTCACCGACTGTGTGCATCCCTGGGGAGGCTTGCACATGTTACTACAGTGTTATCCTAAGTCTCTGACCTATTGCATTACTGTCAACCTTCAAAATTTTACGTGGATGAACAGTTCAGCCACATGAAACAGAATTGTTTATAATTTTATTATTGTACAAAAGCAAGATGCTATGATTGCAGTTTGGGAACTAATGGATTAAAGCATGCACTAGGGCTGTGCAAATGTGGAGAAGATTTGGGCCACAATTTTATAATTCTCTGCCAACTGTTGGTTCTCTGCTGATTCCCTTTCACCTCTCTCTCACACTGCTTTCTGCAGAAAACATGGTCACCCTTCACTCATCATGCCTCTAAACTCAGAAAGAAGCATATAATCTGTCCCCTTGATCTCCTCAGGTGCTTACACTGCCAGATGGAGAAGCTGTACAATGAGCATCTGAAGAATGCAGCAAGAAAATTTCACCAAAAAGTGCTGGTTTCTTATGCCCAAGTGCCTCTTTCAAAACCTTGATATCTCAAAGGGTATTCACCCAGACCAAAGCAGGGATTCCCAAAAAAACTTCCCTTTGGATTTGCCCCACCAGCAGGAGAGATGGAGGCCTGAATGCCTTAGGGGGCTGCCTGAGGCATTCAAGTTGCCAAGCAATCCTATTGTTCCCATTAGCCATTAAACTGCAAAGAAGTTCACTTTCCCTGAACAGACAGAACACTTGCAGAGCGCCTGCATTTGTGGGCTACCTGCCAAAACATATTCTTTAGGTCCAGTTCAAGATGCAAAAATTTTTCAAGAAACTGTATATTCCTGAAAGGGAAGCCCTGTCTTCTGCACAGATCTACTGCTTAAATTCTGATGCAGAGACTGGACAGTGATTGTCAAAGGGCTTAAAAAGCTTAGGAAAAGCACTGCTATTTTAAGATTAGACTTAAAATACATTAAAAAAAATCTATGATTTAGGGAACATAGTTTAACTTGTAACCATACATATAGAGAGACACACAGATAAATACACTCACACGTATGTTTTACTGTAGTAATATACATATGTAATGTGTATATTTCCATAGTAATCCTTGAGGCCCACACTTAAGAAAATGCCAAAAGTTCCAAGTGTTCAATAACAAAATATGCTGCTCTGTTACACACAAGTAATACAATTAAAGATGTATAAAAGCTTATTTCTAAATTTAATTTTTGAGTCTCTCATTGTCCTCCTTCCTCTCTATTGTTTCTTAACTTGAATTTTTTCTTCCTATTCCAATTTCACTTTCTTTTGTTCATGTTTTCTTCTCTACCCTTCCCCTTTCTTCCACAAAGCCTCTGCAAAGCTCAAAAGCCTTTGAATTTGGATGTCTGTTTTATGAAAAGTGGAGGCTGGCTGAAACCAAGAATTCCCCCCCCCCCAAATGTCTAAGATACAATGATTTATAATCCAAATCAGTTTCTTGAAAACATATATTCTATTTGTAATCCTTTTCAAAGAATCATAAAACAACATCCAAAGAAGGAGAAGCTCAAGATTCCAACAATCTTTGTGGCCTGCTTGAGTTATCATCTAGTTGGTGATCAGTTGGTGAACCTTATTTGCTGGAGGCTCTACAGTCAGAAGCTAGCACAAATTTAATGCCTACAAACACTCTGATGAAAATGATATTTTGAATTTAAATAAAGACTAGGCCAAATTTCTCATATCTCACCAGATTTCTTATGTCTTTTTTCCTCTATAGGTTTACTCATTAAAATTATATTTTTATAGTCAAAGTCTCACAAGTGAAAAAGGATATAGCTGTTAAAACTGTTGACGATAAACTGATTGACATCACATGGGAATCCTACCCAAATCCACTTAATATTTTAAAGGTAAATTTGAGCTATAATTTATTTAAACAAAAACAACCCCCAAATCCACCAACTAAAAAACCCCAACCAATCAAGCCAACTATTGCATGATATAGCCTTGAAGATGATACTCTCTTTATCTGACTCTTACCTGGACAAGGCAAAATGTTGCATTCCTGGTACTCTAGAGATGGTCCAAGGCAAGGAAGTCCTCCGTACTTGGGCTCAGGATTGCTGCAGACCCGTTTGCGATTCCGTATACCTCTACTGCAGTCACGACTGCACTGAGACCATGGAGACCAGGGTGACCAGGCACCGTTGATGGTATGAGCAGAATATCGTCCAGAACGCAAGAAGTCCCCTGACAATCCTAATAAAATAAGGATTGCAAAAAACATAAAATACTGAATTAAAACAGTATCTCACCTCAAAACAACGTTTTCGGCTTCAAATTTACTCTTAGGCTTCTAATAGTAATATTACCAGGAGTGTCTTGTCCTTCAGTCTCACAACCCAAGCCTTAGTTTAATCTCAAGAATCTCTTCCATAATATAAATTTCATAATCACTTGCACAGAACTACAGTGAAGACTTGGATCCAACTCCTCACTTAACGCTTTACAGCTGCATTGACTGAACTAAAGTCAATTTACTCCACCTGAGGATGATAAAAGTTCTTTCTCTTGCACAGGAATTGTCATATGAAATACTCCAAATACAGTACAGAGGTATTATTGCCTCTGTTTTAGAGGAAGAAGGTGGCACAGAAGACAGGACTGAGCTGCCTGTGGCCATTCCCTTAGCCAGTTTCCCTGGTCATACTTGCAGGATTCTGCCCACTCGATCTACCCAGCCTGTGCTCGTGCCCATGGGTGTGCTCATGGGTGTCCTTGAAAGCAATGCACTGTACTTACCTTAAACATAATCAGAATTTAGCTAGTGTATTGCCCAAGGAAGTTGTGAATGCTTCATCCCCAGCAGTGTTCAAGGCCAGGTTAGACAGAGCCTTGGGCGACATGGTTTAGTGTGAGGTGTCCCTGCCCATGGCAGGGGGGTTGGAACTGGATGATCTTACGGTTCTTTCCAAGCCTAACTATTCTATGATTCTATGATATCAATAATTTCACAAAGTCTAGTAAGACTTCCCTTTTGTGTAGAGCAATGTTTTGCCACTTTAAAAAACAGTTTATTTTCCAATGAGTTGAAATGTTCTAAACCACATATAGGCTTATGAAATCAATCCAACAGATGATAGAATACATCCTAGTTAAAATAACTATCTGGCAAGTGGAAAATATCTTTTCTAAGTGAGTTTAGTACCAAGAAAAGGCATTAACTTAAACAGCGATGGATGTTGAATTCTACTATTTATCAGTGAAATGGAAACACACAGAACTTTGTTCACAGCATACAACCAATATGCCTGGATGTAGCCTCAGGGGAAGTTCTAATAATCCACAGCTAATTTGAGTTAATTTTGAGCCAATTTCAGGCTTGATCCTGCACAAAAGAAGAATACCTCAGCTGTACTCAGCACAACACTGAACTCACTCTTGAGCTGTAGCATTACCCGTAAGCACTACTACTAAGCATCTCCAGAAACACTACTGGGATTTCCTACTGTTGCCAAAGCAGTTCAACCTTCCCCAGTGGAACCTGGAAATTCTATGATCAGTGGACCACTAACTGCTGCTTTTATTACAAGCACTTATTTAAGTAGTCATGATGAGAGAAGGTGCTGTGAATGGTACTTAAAACAGCAGAGAATGTGGCTGCCTGTTTATGCCAGATCTTCAGTATCGTCAATATAAGTACAGATGAATGGTACCATCAATAGTGGAAAAATGCAGGGGATTGTTTGCAGCTTAAACTGCAGCACAAATTTTTATTCTTAAGAAATTTCTTTATGCCCTACCCACAGGCACAGGCACTGTGGGAGTATCAAATGGAGCTAAAGAAACTGAAGATGTACTGAATCACATACTGGAAACAGCTACAGGCAATACTGTGAAGAGTCTGCCCAACAGGAGTCCTGGTTAATTCTCAGGATTTACAGGACCAATACTGTAGATAACCAGAATGGAGGAGCCCCTCATTTGCAGTGTCCAGTACTAAAACAATTACACCCTGTTTCTACCTGTGGTTATGGCATTAGTAATAATGCTTAACTTGTGCCCTAAGAAGTACATTATAATATCCCAAAGTAGATGAGGCTTTGCATATTTTTATTCAATAACTGGCAATATTGGAATGATGATACAGCAACACAAAAATACTTGTAATAAGAAACTGTTTAAAAAGAAAACAGCAGAATAGCAATATAAAAATCATTAAAAACGGATAAAACCTTTCAGTGATCATAAAGGGTAACTATTTCTCTCCTGCTGAGCTAGATTCTACTACACATATACTAAGAGCAGCATTTCAAGAAACATGGCATACACTAAAATCCAAAAAGGGAGCAAGTACAATATTGTACAAATCGTACAAGAAACAATATGGGAATTATGAACACAGGCCCACTCTCCATCATTTTAAGACCCTTTTTTTGCAATTTTCTATCACTTTGTTCATGGAAATGTCAGGCTTATGCACAGTGAGATGTCAGACTTAGTAGCAGTCTTCCAGTACCTAAAGGGGGCCTACAAGAAATCTGGAGAGGAAATTTTTACAAGGGCATGTAGTGATAAGACAAGGGGGGGATGCCTTTAAACTGAAAGAGGGGAGATTTAGATTACACATAAGGAAGAAGTTCTTCACTGTGAGGGTGATAAGACACCGGAACAGGTTGCCCAGAAGAGCTGTGGATGTCCCTTTCCTGGAAGTGTTCAGCGCCAGGCAGGATGGGGCTTTGTGCAACCTGGTCTAGTGTTCCTGCCCCTCTACTCTGCTCTTGTGAGACCTCACTTGGAGTATTGTGTCCAATTCTGGTGTCCTCAACATAAAAAGGACATGGAGCTGTTGGAGCAAGTCCAGAGGAGGGTCACAAGGATGATTAGATGGCTGAAGCACCTCCCGTATGAAGGCAGGCTGAGAAAGTTGGGGCTGTTCAGCCTGGAGAAGAGAAGACTGCATGGAGACCTCATAGCAGCCTTCCAGTATCTGAAGGGGGCCTATAAGGATGTTGGGGAGGGACTCTTCATTAGGGACTCTAGTGGTAGGACAAGGGGTAATGGCTTTAAACTCCAACAGGGGAACTTTAGGTTAGATATAAGGAAGAAGTTCTTCACAGTGAGGGTGGTGAGGCGCTGGAATAGGTTGCCTAAGGAAGTTGTGAATGCTCCAACCCTGGAGGGGTTCAAGGCCAGGCTGGACAGAGGCCTGGGGGGC